GAGTAACGTACGTACGTAGTTAGTAGTTGTAGTGTAGTACTACTACTACGTTACTAGTAGTAGTAGAGAGAGAGTAGTAGTAGTAGTAGTAGTAGTGTTAGTATGTATGTGCATATACCTCTCATTACGAGAGAGAGCGAGAGAGAGAGAGAGAGAGTCTTGTATGTATGTGCATATACCTCTCATTATGTTTCCAATATCTTGCTTTTCTTGGTTAACATGGTGTTGGTACAAGGATATCCCAGTTTATTGAAAAATTTGAAAATACTCACTCCTTGTTTGGGTATTTCAGGAGCAAGTAAGAAGTGGAGATGCAAGTGCCACTGAGTACTTTGAGCTTGGTGCGGTGATGTTGAGGAGGAAGTTCTATCCTGCTGCTACCAAATATTTACAACTGGCAATTGGGAAATGGGATGGGGACCAGCAGGATCTTGCGCAGGTAATTTTCCCAATATTCATATTATCATTTTCCACTTTGAGTCTTAATGTTTAATGTTTTTGAATGGTTATGTTTTTGAAATTCTTGTATTATTTTTCTTGTCTTCAAACGTTTGAAAGATAGATCACTTTTCTTTTCTTTCTTTTTTTTTTTGGGTCAAATGCGTGATTCTCTGGCAAGGCACATGGGCACAACTACTTTTGTGTTCCATTGTAATAAACAATATGATCTCTCTCTCTCTCTCTCTCTCTCTCTCTCTCACGCACACACAAAGCAAAAGAAGAAACAATTTATTTGAATTAGCCTTTTCATGTGAATCTGAACAGTCAGCTTTAAGGCCCCTTTTTGACTTTTTCTGTTTCTTTTAGTGGGTGGAAACTCTCTTTCAAGCTGTAAAGCATATTAATATCATGTTAGGAATTTGAGAACATAAATTTTTTTAAGGTTTCATTATAGGTACAAATGGTTAAAGTTACTCTTGTACATTTTATGAATGTGAGTGCAAATGTTTTGTTGATGGTTGGATGTGTCTTACTGTTTAACTGATGAATGTAAATGGTCCTTTTGCCTTTTTTATTTGGGATGAGTAAGCAAGTGTTTAGGCCCAAGACCATAATGACACCCATCACAATAATGTTATGACACTTATTTCCATTTATTTCTTTCTTTCAAAAGAAGGAATCATCTCCCTATAGCATTGAATTAGTTTTTTTCACTGATTCTTGGTTAAATTTTAACCAAAGAAATTTGATAAAACAAAGCGTGCCGGTCAACCCTGTGCGCCCAGGGTGGAACACACACACACATACATACCATATTGGGTCAGGTATATGCTTGACCTGACCCGGTGACCTGGACCCAGATTTGAATCGACTCAGGTATGTTTTTGCTGGACCCAGGATTTGGACCCTAGTCTGATGGTCAACCCGACCCGACCTGATTATCTAATGAATATGAAAATAGGAAAAAAAAAATTACCATTAAAAAAATCAATGATTTCTTGAAACCATGATTGTTTGGATCATGGGTCAGGTGCACAATGCCCTCGGTGTGAGCTATGTGAGAGATGGGAAGCTGGACAAAGGCATCGTTGAATTCGAGAAGGCAGTGAAGCTTCAACCTGGTTATGTCACAGCCTGGAATAACCTGGGAGATGCCTACGAAAAAAGGAAGGATTTGAGGGCAGCCTTAAAATCATATGAAGAAGCCCTCCTCTTTGATCCCAACAACAAGGTGGCAAGGCCACGACGTGATGCTCTAAGGGACAGGGTCAAGCTTTACAAGGGAGTGCCTTTAAAATCAGAGGAGCGGTAATCTCTCTTTCTTGTTTTTGTTCCTGAGATCTTCTCTCTCTTGTTTTTTGTTCTTCAGATCAATGTTGTTTTTGGTTCTTAATGAAATAAAATTTTTTGTTATATTTTTATTTTCTCCAACAGTTAGTGTACGACTCTTAATAAAGCAGAATGGTAGATCAGAATTCATATTGTTGATTCCAATTAGTTGAAAAAAAGCTTAACGATGGTGATTTCTTGTTAACTTTTTTATCTTTGGTTGATTCAACCAACCATGTGGAAAACATTCTTTATTGAAGAGAGAGAGAGAGAGAGAGAGAGAGAGAGATCATTTTCCTACTAGATGAAATGCATAGAAGCACTTACAAATTTTAGAATAAAAAAATTAGAGGGATTGATATTGGAGGTTATACTAATTAAAATGATGCATACATAATAATTTATTATGTTTAAAGTAGAAGAGTATTATTGAAGTTTGTCAAATGCTACAAAGAGGATTATTGAAGTATGTCAAATGTTGCAGAGTATTGTGTCAAAATATTGTTACAAATAATTCTACCGTAAATCTGGAGATATTGCAAGTTGTATCCCAATGAGCAATTGGACTTTATACTGTGAGACTTATTATTTTCGTATATATAAGTCATAATCAACCCTAGATATGAACTCAAGCTCCTTAGAAGTTATGTATTGATAAGGCTAGAAGTTTTTCTTTGAGATTTTGTGCAGGGGAATGATACAATCCCAGCGATCTGATTTCATCTCTGATGGCCAATTGTGATCGTTATTATTTGATAAAAGGAAACGAGTCTTATGGTATGGGATGTTAAGTATTCTTTAGGGGTGGCAATGGTCCCAGACCCGACTCAGGACCCAATGGGAAGACTCGATTTAGGTTTGGGTACTGATCCAAAAATTGGACCTGGCTGGTCGGGTTCGGGTCCAAATCTTGGACCCAAACATTATTCAGGTCCGGGTCCAAAGCTTGGACCCAAACAATATTCGGATTCGGGTCCCATATTATATTTTTGGGTTTCAATTTGTGAAATATATTTAAATATAGAAGAGATTACAAAACTCCTATGGGAGAAAATGAACAGTATTTTCGTCCATAGGTTCGGGGCCATCCGATTTTTTGGACGGTGTAGATTAAAAATTGTCATCGACATAGCATTTTTTTGGCGGTCCATCATAGATACAGCATGTCCATGACATGATTTTTTTCACGTAAAATTGACGTAAAAAATATACGGGGACCACCACGTCTCCCATAAGTCCGTGGCGGTTTTCAGGCAAAACCATGTTCGTGACGAGGGTGAAACACTGTAGCAATTCGTCTAGGCGTTTTTAAGATTTTTTTTTTAAATATATTTAAAAATATAAATATTTTGATTTTTGGGTTGGGTCTTATCACTGTAGCAATTCGCTACTTTGGGGACTGAAAATCATAGAGGAGACTAGTATGGGAAATATAATAGAGATTGAAGGGGACTCAACGGATGCTATTAAATAGTATAATACGGAGCAGAAAGTACCATGGAATTTGAAGACCGTTTGGTTTGAAGTAAGAGCTACGTGTGCAGGATCAACATCGACTGTTTGTCATATTTATAAAGACTAACTATAACTTGCAATTAATCCTTTATAGGAAAATGGTTTAATACGGCTGCAACTATATCAAAATGGTTTAATACGGCTGCAACTATATTAAAATGAGTAAAGCTTCACTTTACAATTCACTAAGAATTGTAGTTTTAGTGTCGACAAACCTTCAAAACGATCATCTTGGCATGGGCATTATGGTTGTGATAAAAATTTAAGATTTCAAGCCTTAAAAATAGTGTAGATTGTAATATATTATCTAGACCATCTATTTTACCCTAAAAATGAGTATTCACGGAACCATAAAGATCTGTATTATGTTTTTAGCTTTAAATTTCATGGTTGATGCTGGAAATTGATTTTAGAACCGTCAAGGAGATTTTTGATGCCCAAAGTGAGTTTTGGATGAAGATTTAACGTGAGGTTTTACTTTGTTTTTATATAACCTAGGCCTTATAGGAACCGCATCCTAATTTATAAGGAAAGAGGTTAAAATAATGAATGGGGCTTTATAGAAAGAAAGTAAAGTTGCACCTCAAATTTCACTAAAGATTGTAGTTCGACATAGGAAAATCTTCAAATTGATCATTTCGACCTTCACTATTATGGATATGGAAAAAAAAAAAAAAATCAAATAATATATATTTTAACAACTTATCTAGACCATCCATTTTTCAAATGTCCATAGATCTACGAGAACTGAAGTGTCATGTGGTGAGGCTTTTCATTTTTTCATAAAGCTTGGACCTGATAGCAAATGAAGAGAGAAAAAGCTGGTATCCGAAATAGGGAGGTGCTATTTTTGTTTACAAATAGAGAGAGGAATCAAAAGCTAATGCGACTATTGAGGCTTGTGGTTCAAAAGACATTATTTGTTTCCATGATGTATAGTAGCTTTTGTCCAATTCTTTTTGTACTTCAAATGTGGAACTATTAAAGAAAATTAGGTGTTCGACATTCAAGAGAGAGAGGGGGAAAGAGTGTGTGTAGTTAACAATGTTAGAAAGTGCGACTCGGACCGAGTAATCGGTCCTGGCCCGAGCCGATTACTCACGGCCGATTAGTGCTGGGTACTGTACCAACAAAACAAAGGTTAAAAAATATAAAAAAATTTCAAAAATACAGGACATGTATGTTTAAAGTAAGATTAAGCAAAACAGGTCAAAATGATGTTAAAAAAGTGGTAATAAAATATATTATTAACAACTCAACTCATAACTGAGGGTATTTTTGAAATATTTTATAAATATGGGAAATTGAAAAGATAAGTATTTACAATTTCTAATCTTTGTCCAAAACACACACACACATATATATATATATATATATATATAGAAAAAATTTATATAGAGTCAAGGCTCTAAACAATCAAATTAGAGCCCACCTCAAAATAGAAGAGGTTGTTTTGATGCCCAAATATCGTCAAATTGATTATCTCGACATCAAGAAGCATGGACATGAGAAAAAAAAATAGATTTCAAGTTTTGGAAATAGTGCATCTTGTGTCACATTTTTAGACGGTCAATTTTCAAGTTTTTTTAGATCAGCTCGATCTACACTTTTTTAGAGTTTTAAATTTATAACTAAAGATGAAAATATATTTTAAGGTTATCACAAAGATTTTCATAATTGAAACCACATTTCTGGACACTAGTTGAAGGTAGGTTCTAATTTGATTGTTTAGAGCCGCGGCTCTATACAAACGGCACCATTAAAAAAAGCCATATCCTAAATGAGTTTCAAGATTATTACTTTTTATAAACTCCCTAGAGTTGGACACCCCACTGGGACTCGGCAAGGCCACCGGAGGGCAAGTAACTCAGCGGAGCAGAGTAGTTTCTACTCGGCCGGCCGATTTTTCATTCACTGGTTATTGATGAGCGAGGAATCTGGAAGCAATTTTTCATTGTCGTTGTGGAAAATTTGTGGAATTGAAGAGAGAGAGAGAGTGTGTGTAGTGGCCACAATGAGTCAAGGAATGTACTCGGAAAAGTCCCCCTAAATTGCCTATATATATATATCCAACCATTACATAGCATTTTATTTTCAAGAAGTTAGGAATCCAGTAACATCAAACACCCCACTTTGATAGTGCTCTCCATGTCCAAACGCGGGGTTGACGCCTCCCAAGTCTTCCCTCTAATTGGCTTCACACCTTCCTTATCTCTCTCTCGCTCTCTAGATTTATAGGGCCTTTCTTTACTTTTTTTTTTTTGTTTTTTTCTCCTTCTCAAAAGATACTATGAAGACTTCCTTCTCCCTTTCTCTCTCTAGACTTATGATTGCTAAATATGCCTAGATCTCTATATATATTTGTGCCTCGGATACTCTCTTTAGATGGAGACTTTCAACTCTCTCCTTTATGTTTTGAGTTGAGAAATTCTCCAAAGAAGTGTAAGGGGAGTAAAGTTTCTTTCATTAGGAATCACAAATCCCTTATTCATGTGGTTTTTTATGGGAAAAATATCTTCTTACACCCTCTTTTTAAATTTTATTTTTTTTAATATTGAAAAATAAGAGAGAGGTTTGGGAATTAATACGCGAAGAGAGAGAAAAAGGGGTTTAAAAATGAATACAAAAAAAATATATTTTAAACTTTTGTTTGGCCTAAAAAGATGAAGTAACTTTGGTTTAGGGGTTTAGAAGAAATAATACATATGATCTCTAGACTGTATGATATATTTTGAAACTTTAGGTCTGTTGATAAACGAAATTTAAGAGGGTGTATAGAGATATTATCAGATATTAAAAAAAAAAGATATTTTTTTGAAAAATATTCTTTTAAAATTAAAAAAATGAGAGGTTTGGAGAGAAATACGGGAAGAGAGAGAAAGTTTTTTGAAAGGAATAGAAGAAATGATGTCTTTTGAACTTTTGTTTGGGCTAAAAAGATGGGTTAAGTTGATCTACGCGATTAGAAAATATAATACATGGAATCTTGATGCCGCAAGATATGTTTTGGAATCTTATGTCTGTTGAGAAATGTAACTTAAAAAAAGATTGAAAGCGATATTTTCCCTATTTGAAGAATCAAATTTTTCCATTTGATAGTTTTTTAATATAGAGAAATTTTTTTTTGACACGGGTCCAAACCCTTTAGAAAATATCAAAGAGCCAAAAGACACCAATTAACACCAGAGGGTTTATTTTTTTCTATTTTCATCTCATTTGGGTAACAAGTCCAAAAATATTTTTTAAAAATACCTAAAATGACCTTTCCAAAGTAAAAAAAAAGAAAGGAAAATGGTTTGGTAGGGCTACAAACTTACTAAAATAAATAAAACCTCATCTCAGAGCTTATCAAAAATTATAATTCAAGTGTTGAAAAACATTTAAATCGATCATCTCAGCTTGAATATTACAGTTATAAAAAAATTAGGATTTCAAATCTAAAGATAGAGTATATTGCAACAAATCATCAAGAACTTCATTTCCCCTAAAAACAAGTGTTAATAAATATGCAAGATCTATATCATTTTGTGAGCCATCATGAAGATTTTCGATGCCCAAAATACTTTTCAAATGGGGATTTGAGGTGAGAGTTTATTTTATTTCATAAAACCTAAGCTCTATAGAAGCTTCATCCAAAAAGAAAACCCCCT